CCCCAAAACCCCAAAACCCCAAAACCCCAAAACCCCAAAACCCCAAAACCCCTTAAAATCTTAAAACGATAGAGTAAATAATTTGTTAAAATGATTACCTACGTGGACCTTGACAAGAAGACAGTTGACTGGAAGAAAGACCTTTGGCCTGAAGAGAATCCTTTTGAAGTTCTGGTAGATAGAAAAGATGATGAGGAGATAAGTTTGGCAAATTACAGATACAAATCAACAAAAGGAGACCCAAAGGCTGTCATAATGCTCTTACATGGATACGGATCTTGGACAGGAAAATACGGATATTATGCAAAGTACTTTGCTGATCAGGGATATGATGTTCTTGGCTATGACTATAGAGGATTTGGAAAGACCGAAGGTCAAAGTGGACATATTGCATCATGGGAGCAACATATGTCTGATGCATGGACTTATTTTGATATTGTGAAGGAGGAGTATAAGGAGACTTCTATCATTGGATGTGGATATTCTCTTGGAGGAGGTACTAGCTATTGTATGGCTATTGAAAGACCAGATGCCTTTAGAGCTTTGATGCAGATAGCTCCTTTTGCTGGCTATCACATTGGGAAGCATCCATACCAGGCTGCTGCCAATACTATAGCAAAATTCTATCCAGCCCTCTCAGTATGTCCTCCTCTGAGGAATCCAGTTCCGCATATGGTGCATTACTATGATGACCCTTTACAAGTTGTTGCAGGTAAGAATCATTTTTCTTTGTACTAAAACAGGTCCTTTGCTAGTCAAAAAGAGAAAATGACTTAACTTCTAAATAGGTTCTACAGCAGCTTCCCTTGTCGCTCTAGACATTTGTCAAAAGACAATCCAAGCGAATGTTGATAAGCTTACAGTTGATATGCATGTCACAATTGGAGATGAGGAAAATGTTGTGAGTAGAGTAGAATGCCAGAAGATTACCAAAGAAGCTCCCGCTATTGTAAAGGAGTATTATGAATGGCCAGGAGTAAACCATTATATTATCAATGACGGAATTTATATGGAAGATATTATTGTAAGTATCCATTCAGTTACAATTTTTAGAGAAATCAGCTCGATTTCTTAGAAAGAATTTTAAAAGAATAATATATGACGTGGAGAAAATGAAAGAACGAATGTATTGTTTTCAATCATATTTATAATTTAAGGGGTTTTGGGGTTTTGGGGTTTTGGGGTTTTGGGGTTTTGGGGTTTTGGGG